CTCTTCTTTTTTCTTTCTTTACGCGAGGGTGTATCTTTCGAAAATATTACGACACTTCAGATTCCGTAAAAGCTTGCATATCTTTTCTTTGCAATAACGAAGAACGAAACGTGGGGAATACTCACAGCTGACCGCGTTCGTGCCGTGTCGTTTGCCCGCGTGTTGTTGCTCGACAGGGTGGTGGATTATGGCCTCGGGTACCGGCAGCGCTTCCGGTTCCTCAATGTACTCTGGCGGCGGTGGTTGCTCCACCATCATTGCGCGTTGTTTTTCCCGCGTCTTCGCTTCTAGCACCGCCTGGATCTCGATTTGCTCGTCGGTGATGTCATGTTCTTGCTCGACCACCCGGTGTTTCTGCTCCATCAACTGCCTTAGACGGTTCATCAGCATCTGCGTACAGTGAGAAAAATGAGGATCGAAAGATTAAATATGTTTTAATAAATGTACAAGAAACGCGACGTCGAATATCCAACATCAAGCGGGTTTTACTTATTGTTATTTCTAAATAAAGCAAATAAAGATTGTTGTCGCACGCTTTTGGTCTCCAGCGTCTGTTCTCCAACAAGAAACGGAAATGGATACAACATTACGTGATTTTGCTAAAGTATTTATCTAAAAACGTGATCAGATATAAATTTGACCATTCGGATATAAAGTTGGGCCATTGAAATTATTAGGATGCTTGAACATGATAATCATGCAAATATTTTTTTTATATTCTAACAACTAATTTGAATATTGTAAATAATTATTTCGACTAGATTTATATCTAGTCGAACTTTTAAATATTTCAGAAAACTGTTCTTTCCATATGATTATTGGTTATCAAGTAAAAAAAATCTTTTGAAATTTGAAGAATTTTACATTCAATAGGCAATTTCTCTTTTTTTGTTTGAAAGTATTTGAAATAAATATAAATATAAGAAAAAGTTTATCGCTCATATCGCATAGAAAGAAAGAACACTTTTGCTAGCAAATTTAAAAAAATTGGCCAAATACAGATCTAAAGATAATTTCATTGAATCTTCAAAATTATTATATATGTAAATTCGTTGCTAGAAGATCAACATTTTTTTGCAGTGTTATTATTACGTTTAAATGTTCTATATAAAACTTTTGACCAACAAAATTATTTTCAGATATTTGCATCTGGCAAAATTTTTAGATTTGCCAGCTCTCTTTGCGTATAGATTACTCAATACTCACAAGATTTTCCGCCTCGTCTGCGGCGACGTCGCCGAAGAAAATCGGCGGTGGCGGTGGTTCCGGTTGCGGAAACGCGTTAACCGTGTTCCTGCCACTTGTAGCGCAGGACAGCACGAGTGCCGCCAGCAGACACAGGCTTGTCCTAGCAGCGGCTCGTCGGCTACCTCTTTCCGTCATTCCCTCGTATCTCTCGTGTTCTCTACGGAAATGAAGAGAAAAGCGCACTCGTACAAAAGATAAAGATAATACAAACCGATGTGTGTGTGTGTGTGTGTGTGTGTGTGTGTGTGTGTGTGTGTGTATATATATATATATT